GCAAAGCACCTCACAGCAAGAATACCACTGAGGTCAGGTCCTAGCCATGTCAGCAAGCATATATAGCAAGACGTGTTCATCGCCTTCTGGACTCCAAACAGGGAGAAGTGACGCTCCAACAGAGGTCAGATACGAAGTGAGGGTCTTCATTCTTCTCGACCAAGTCATCGCTTCCATTTATACCCCCGGCGAGCAAACAGCGCACGTCGCGGGAGCCGGTGGGCTAGCATGCGTAACACGTAGCCGAGCCATCAGAGTCTGGTACGTGAAATAACGGTGCTGAGCGCTGCAGTTCCTTTACCCGTGCCGTAAACAAGGCGAGGAACACGCTCGTTGCTCACGCGGTGTTCTCACCAGATATGAGCCAAACTGCGAAGGAACCGATGGTCGAACGTAACTAGCCCCCTTATCTCCGCCGAACTAATGGACCAGATTACGCAACCGTACAGTAGAGTCGAACGTACCGCTGTACTGTACACTCTACCCTTCAAGGCGAGAGTGATGTCGCGCCGCCACCATAGGTGGAGAAGACTAACAAAAGCACCTCCAGCTTTTGCTATCCGGTTCGTGATCCCATCTTCGATCTTAAGAGAATTGATAAAACTTACGAGGTAGTTGAACTTCTGTACGACTTCTAGCAGATTCCCACCAAGAGTCAGCGCATGAGGCGATCCGTGCCAATCTTGGAGGAACACTTTGCACTTCGATGGTGCAAATCAAAGCCTGAAGCGGCTGACAGCCAGTGCTAATCTGTCCAGTGCAGCTTGTCATGTCTGGCAGCTGTGACAGATGAGGGCAATATCGGGTGCATACGCCATGTCAAGAAATCGATCTCTTGGGAATAGCTCCACACCTTCTAAATCGCGTCCTGTATATGCAATCTCCATGAGTTCGTCAATAGCGAAGTTGAAGAGGAAAGGTGACAACGGGCAACCTTGTCTCACATCGCTGGAGATATTGAATGACGGCGACAGTTTACCGTAAGCGCCCACTCTACACGTGATACGCGCGTATAATACTCGCATAATACTTACATATTTCTCGGGCACACCTTTCCTGAGTACACAGTCCAAAAGGGCACATCGATCAACTGAATCGAATGCATCTTTGATGTCCAGGAACACGACTACGGCGGGCCGCCAATATGTGTGACGATGCTCCAACAATTGACGCAAAGTGAAGATGTGGTCGACGCAGCCACGATCCCGACGAAACCTGGCTTGCTCCTCACGAATCTGGCTTTCACGAGGGCTAGTCAGTCTGTGAAGCAGAGGCAAGTAATTTGGAGACTAGAGAAATCAGACTGATTCGTCTATGGTTGCGACATTCAGAACGCAAGCCTCCTTTGAAGATGGGAACAATAACGAAACGGCTTCAGTCGGTTGGGACAATTTCCTGCTCCCACAGTTTTACTAGTAATTCGTGTAAATCATCAACAAGAGCAGGGCCTCCAAATTTGAAAAGGGTTGGATGTAGATCATCTGGTCCCGTGGCTTTCGTAAACTTCAACAGTCCGGTCTCATGTTTGACTTCTGAGCCAGAGGGCGGATCAAAAAGGACAGCACAGGGAGCAGAGCGACAACTGGCCAATGAGGAATCGAACAATACCGGCCGATTAAATTGCTTTTCTAAATGCTCAGCCCAACGTCCCAAATGTTCTGATAAATTGTGGATAGACTGCCCACTCTCGTCATAACTTATTTCACTAACACCGTGTCTCCTGCTGCTCGTTTCCCGTACCAAACGGAATAACTTTCGATGGTTACCAAAGGCAGCGGCCACTTCCATCTCTGATGCACGAACAGACCACCAAGATTCGCGGTCTCTCTTTAGGATAGCACGGAGTTTTGCCTGGAGCAGTTTGCAAGTTGCATTATGTTGGTTTCCAGTCGGAATATGCCGGCGAGCGTCGATAACTTCCAGAGACCGCGAAGAGACCCAATGTCCATCTTGGTTATTAGACTTACCACATCAGCATTTGCCTGCTGCTAGTAAGGTCTGGCGAACATGTGACCAGTGACCTTCAATTGTCTCCAGTGAGCGCTTACTCAACTCGCATATCAGCGTACTTCGATACGTATTCAGAACAGCTGGCTTCCCCAGTTGACTGATGTCAATGCGCTCACAGCGTCTTCATGGGCGTCCGCCAAAACGCATCCGCATATCAGCAGATACAAGTGCATGCTCAGTGTCCACACATGTACTCCAAATCGAGTGACAGTTCCGGATGAAGGCTCTCCACCGGTAACTGATGGAAATGTGATCGATTTGCGTCCAGCGTGCGTTCGAGGTTGGTGTGAACCATGTCACCCTCCGGCAGGTGTTATGTCGGAAGTTAGTGCTCGCAAGACATAAGCGGGCATCTTCACACAAATGAAGTAACCGCTCACCGTTATCAGTAAGGGAACCTACACCGTGCGGATCGCCCAGATGCAGTTCATCAGTGGACAACTTTCCAACTTGTGCTTTTAGATCTCCCGTCAACCCAACAGTGTCCGTGCTCCTTCTGTGTCGAAAGGAGCTCGGTCAGTTGGCGGTAGAAGTCGTCTTTTTTACTGAATCATCGCTAGGGTTTGTGGGAGCGTAGGCAGCGATGATGAATAGACACCTATTAGTCCCGCGCGACTTCGAAGCTTTGAACGAGCCAACCAATCGGACCGCACACATCCCGCTACTGATTGGAATCCAATCAACCAGCGCAGCTTCAGCCTGGGGACTCAGGGCAATGCCAACACCATATCGACCGGTGTTCGAAGCTACATTGTCAGCGGATAGGCGCAATGAGAAAATACTGCTGGTGTCAACTGAAGGGGATCGCAAAGTAAGCATAGAGCTCGAGTCTTGCAGGCGGGTCTCTGAGAAGCATTAGATATCGATGGAGAGGGTCTCTAAAGTTCGGTCAAATGCTGCCTGTTGACTGATCTGTTGCAAGGTGCGTACATTGAGGCATGTCAATTGGAAGGAGGATCGATGGCTCCAAATGGAAGCCGATGAACTGGGATGGACTGACTCGTTGGACATGGGCTTTTCGATAGGACAGGAGTGATGCTCCGCGTTTACATGTGAGTTGAAACTAGAAGATAAAGGCCTAGAAAAGCATGTTGAGGGAGGGCCAAGAACCAGGGTGTTGAAAACTGGGGGGATGGAAGTGAAGTTGGAACGGGAACATTAGGGTGAATAAGCGTAAGGGGGTGAATAAGAAGACAGGAAGGCTTGAGCAGTAGCATCCAACCCCCAAACCACCCTGCTCGATGCAGCAGATAGGGCGCCGTTCATTAGCTTCTGCAATGGCCAGAGCATCGGGAAACTGTTTGAAGAAAAACAACACAACACGGTTCTCCTAAATAAGCGATAGATGAGTGTACGGGAAAGGTGCTCTAACCAGCACAACCTATTCAATCTTATTTGGTTATCAGCCAAAGTAAAGCGAGTAACATTACCTAGTGTGTGCCTGTGTTCTTCACGGATGCGGAGGCGCCGATGCCGAGGGCACAAGCTCTGCTCCGCAGAAAACAATAATCGAAGGCTTGAATCTGCATGGGGTCTTTAGCACGAAGATGTCAGTTCTCAGTACCGCAGAGAACGGCCGTCTACGTAAACAGTACTATGGTCCACCGGGAAAAATAGTTGTCATCGGTGATGTGCATAGAATGCATATTATAAATCTACAATAGCTACTGGTACATGGCTTGCGGTAGCGCACATATGTGGGAGCCCAAGCATGCTCTGTGAATGTACTAAGCACAAATGTTTTAATCGGTGTAAATAAAAGGAGGAAATAAATCAACGATCGATGGAGAATAAAAAGTAAAGGAGGTAGCAGCAGTACGCCAGTACACAGCATCGATGCTAGGGTGGCACGCAACCATAACCAGTCAAGATTAAGCTAATGATATTAAGAAGATCGTCTAGTCATCTACGCAGGTTCGAACCGGCGACCTCCGGATTGCAAGGTAGACGTTTTGTCCTTTAAGAAGGCAATCAAGAATAACGAATAACATAGCCGATGAATAACGTGTTCCCAGAAGAAAACACTGACAAGAAAAGGTGCTCAATAGAAAAAGTACAAAGGCATAAGAAGAAAAGAAGCGGAAATAAACCTTTGATCGGGGGAATATGAGCGTATCTTCATAATCCCCAAGGGGGTTTCGCAATACCCGACCTGGAAGTAACTGTTATTCGATTCAGTTTTATGTACCCAGATGGGTGCATATTCGGCTGAAAAGAAAAAATAACACGAGTATGCGACACGAAGAAATCTCTGTTGGGAGAGAAAACTTAATCACCTCAGGTATGAGCACGGGGCAGAATCTTGACTCATCAAACGGAAAACGCATAGAGAGTTAAAGCGCTCCAAGGACACGATAATCCCCATGTTTCCACATTAGCTAAAGGTGGGAAACTTCCACTTTATGCCACAATACAAGAGAGGATACTTAAAAAACAAGGCATAAAAGATAGAAAGGAAAGCAACAGGTAAAACATACTGTTTAGTAACATGTTACGCCTCAAGACTGAGATCGTGGTGGGAGGGGACGTGTGATAATGAGAGACAAAGAAACTCACAACACAAACCCTATCGAGGTCGGCTCCTCGCTGTCAACTAGTCTACTCAATCGAACGTTTTCATCGTTTCTGAGACAAGGACGGAGATCTGCAAAGTTGAAATCGAGCAACAAGACTATTATTCTGACAGACCAAGTGGACAAGGCCAATTCGGACTTGTCAGCCGTTATAAGTGCCATTATGGTCTAAAAAGTGACATGTAAAGGTGCGATTAGCGAGTTTTGGATCCTCACGTGGTGATTGGTACACGAATCGCTAGATGAGTCATGAGAGAGGGAAAGGGCCATGAAGTTCATTTGCGTCTGATTGATTTTAGCTATAGTGAATTCTATCCATCGATACCACCTAAATCGATAAAATTGCAATTGCAATCCCGAATGCCTAACATGGTAGGAAGAAAACACCACGTGATCGATAAGAGAGAAACTACTTACCCTTTAAGTAGCTGTCCGCGAGGACCCGAGGCAGGTATCTTTGACGCATCCAAGGAATGAGACTCTAGAAGTAATCGGACAGCGGGTCCCAATTGGTCTGATGTCTTCGCGGTGGGGTGAACGTCAATCGCCTCTGGTTTTTCAGTGTGCGCTTTCATAGTTGCAGAATCTGTGGTTGTTTGAGAATCGGCAGTTTTGATCCCATCTGAACTAGCTACAGAACTAGCTATCTCCCTCCAATCTTCACCAGGAGAAGCAAGTATGGCAATGCGTTCACCGATGGGCACATTTGGCGACTTTTCCGCAACCTGTGGATTGGAAGATGTACACTCAGCGGGAACCCACAACAGAAGATATGAAGGGTTGACAGCTAGAATGAGAATTTGAATTGCGTAAAGACTGAAGCACAATACTAGTCGAATGGATAAATGTTTCGCTGAGACCCCTAGTACAGTCCGGTTCGGTAGATAAACCGAGAACCGTGCAACTGAACGACTAAGAGCAAGATACAGCGACATACAAAGTTAAAGAATAACGGAAGATCAGGAGACGATAAGAGGAAGAATGATGGAAAACGCAAACGGGTTATTGGAAAAGCCAGTTGTAGAACGAAGCAAGCAAAATTCAAAAGACCGAGTGTGACCAACAGCATGCACTTACCAATGGGACCGGCTAAGTGTACCTAGTCAAGACGGTTAGCAAATGCAGCTATTCAATTTCACCATATTACCCGCAAAGTTGTCGAATTGACACCATCATTAAAGACAGTAAAGCGGTAAAGTGAACTGTTGCCTCGCTGTCGCACAAATGATCAGAGCCTGCTGACTGCTTGGTTAGAGTCGGAAAGAAGATAAATACATTCGGTTTGGTGCACTTGTCGACGTGGCGAACAGAGAGTCTTATTGGCAACTAGGTTGTGTTTTGCTACGCCTCATCATCCAACTAAGTCTTCCCCTCCCACTACTATCTCATCATCGATGTATAATGCTACTTTCCTTCTGATCTTTCTCTCTTTTTTCACCACCACCTAATTAAACTGTACATACAGCTGTGTTCTCATCCCCAGTGAATGCGTAGAATGATAACAATGCTGTGCAACCACAAGCACTAGGAAAACGAAGAAAAGTAGGGGAGAGAGAAGGCGGACCAAATGGAAAACTTGAACGACTTAATCAAATCTCCACGGTTAGTGCGCATGTATCTTGTCAAAAACATGCTCATAAACAACCGGCTATCGTGCAAAGACCTCGACGAAACCCGGACTGCTCTTTGCGGATCTGACCTTCACGAGTGCCAGGCAGTGTGGAGGACGAGAGACGAAAGGAATTTAGAGGCAATTGAGATCAGACTGATCCCTCTGGTTGCCACATTCCGAACGGGAGCCCTCTTTGAAAATTAGAACTATGACGGAGCGGCTCCAGTCTGTCGGGAAAGTCTGCTGCTCCCAAAGTTCCACTAGCAACTCGTGTAAATCATCTGCAAGAGCAGGTCCGTGGAATTTGAAGAGGGCGAGGGGGATTCCATCGGCTTCTGCAGCCTTACGCAATTTCAACAGCCTGATCTCACGTTCGACTACTGCGCGTGAGGGTGAAACCAATTAGACGGCAAATGGAGAAGGGCATTCAAGGCCCGAAAAAGAAAGCGACAACTCAGATCTGTTAAACTGCTGCGCAGTGTTCGGATCAACGCTCCAAACGTTTTGATATGAGGTGGATCAGCCGACTACTCTCTTCGCGTATCGTCTCGCTAACACCAGGTCTCCTGCAGTCTGTTTCCCGTATCAGACGGAATAACTTACGATCAGTAAAACGACAGTGGCCGTTTCCATTTCCGATGCACGATGAGATCACCACACTTCGCGGTCTCTCTTCAGGCTAGCATATAGTTTTGCCGAGACTTTTGCGAGTCTCGTATTTGTTTCCAGCTGGAATACGTCAGAGAGCATCCATAAGTTCCAGAGAGTGCATAGAGACCAAAGGTCTTAGTTAGCAATTGACATATAAATCACATACAAGAAATTCAACTCGTAATCATTTTTCTGTCGTTATTTAACACAACCTACCTACACTCTTTTGCAGCTTACTCGATTCGCTTTCTTGCTGAATAAAGCCTATCCATTTGGGCTATACTCATTCGCACTCAGTGTTTGTTCTCCACAAACTCATATAAGAGCAATTCGATTTGTCACGTGAAGACACGCCTGCTGATAGCAACGTTTCGCGAATATGCAACCCGTGATCTTCGACGGCGTTCAGTGGGCACTAACTCAGTCCGAATGCCACCGTACTTTGATAGGCAATCAGAACAATTGGCATTGACAGTTGGCTGATGTTAATGTGCTCAGAGCGACGATGCGGACATCAGCCGAAACGTACCCACATGTCGGTACACATGACAGCATGATCGGAGTCCATGCTTGGGCTCCGAAATGAGCGGCAGTTTTGGACACAGTCTCTCCAGCGGTTACTTATCGCGATATGATCGGTTTGCGTTTTTGGCTAGTCTGACGAAAGTGGGCGCCAAGTCATGCTTCTGCGGGTAGTATGTCGAAAGTTAGCGCTCGCGAGAAAGTGACGAGCATCTTTACATAGGTGTAGCAACCGCACGCCGTTATCATTACGGGAAACTACACCATGTTCGCCGCCCAGATAAAGCTCATCAGAAGACACTTTTGCTACTTGGGCATTTAGATCATCAGCAAGCATCACAGTATCCGTGCTTCTTCTGCAACAAAGGAGATCGTTAAGTTGGTGATGGAAATCATCTTACACCGAATCAGCGCTGCAGATTGTGAGGGCATAGGCCGCAATGCCAAACGCACCGTTTGTCCCCGCGCGACTTCGAAGCACATTCGGCTGTTGACTGGGATTCAGCCGAGTAGGGAAGCTTCAGCCCGGGGACTCAAAACAATGCCCACGCAAGCTTGACCTGCGTTTGAAGCTGCGTCATGGCCAGACAGGCGCAATGAGAATGTGCCGCCAGTGGCGCGTGTGGGCGACCGCGGGCAGGCAAAAAGGCATCAGCAGTACGCCAGTACGCAGTATATATATCATATATCTATTCACAGCCTGTTAACAGACATTGTGCCATCAGAACCATGGCAGAAGAAGAAAGTAGAGAATATAGGAACACGAACTGCGAGTAAAAAATGGAAAACAACTTTTTAGTTTTACACAACAATCAATCAACAACAGTAGTACATCAGCATTTTAACAAATGCTTCGCTGCCATACAACCACAATGATCTATGAAATAAAGAATAATAAGAGAAAGGGGACTGAAAACCTTGATGCCCTGAGCAAACATTCAGGGCCAAGGCGCCTACACTTTGTGTAGACAACATACCGTCACACAACGTTAGGACACTCAAGCAAATTGGACAGCAAGCCGGTCTAGCGCGCACCCTAGATTCCCTTGACATTGATGTCTGCTGCTGTTCAGAAACCCGAATGCAAGATCCCAGCACTGTGCTTACATTGACGTTCCCCACTGACCACGAAGCCAGATATCACCTGCGTCATTCTGGAGATCCAGAAGCAGCTTTAGCGGGTTTGGCTGGTGTAGGTTTAGCACTAAGTGACAAGGCCGAGGCGCCACTACTGGAGAGGTTCCCGATTAACAGCCGACTATGTGCAGTTCGGCTTGGGGGTTCATGTAGAATCAACAGGTACCGCGAAGAGAGACACAACTTGTTTGTGGTCTCGATGTACGCTCCAACTGACTGCAGTGGCGACTCGGTCAAAAACGAATTCTACCGGGATCTACAACAGCTCTTGACGAATGCTAAAAAGTCGGATGTCGTTATCCTTGCTGGGGATTTTAATCCATGGTTTGGCCGCCTGTTACCATACGAACGCCACCTTGGTGGTCATCACGCGCTCGATGAGAACCGCTCTGATAACGGAGAGAGACTTCTCATATTATCCGAAGACAAGCGTCTGTTTCTTACGGGCACTAACTTTAGACGTACGAAGAAGCGTTCCGTAACGTGGCGTCCAGCTTCTTCAACACACCCGTGGTCTCAAATTGATCACATTGTAACTAGCTTCAGATGGCGCGGCAGCGTACTGGACTGCAGGTCCTTTTGGTCCCCTTCGTTGACTCAGATCATGCTCTGGTCTGCGCGAAAATCTGTATGTGTTTTGGAAGATCACGAAGCACCGTACGATTGATGTAAACAGATTAACTGATTCCTCTGTGCAGGCGAGCTATCACTCTTCACTGGCATATGTACTCAGTTGCAATCCAACGCAAGAGGTGGAACAACACTGGATGTGTATACGGAAGGCGATGACCATTTGCGGACAGTCATGCTGCAGCCTAACTCGACGCCCCTTGAAGGCCTGGATCTCTGCTCGTTCTCTGGAGCTGTCCGAACGCTGTAAAGACATCCCCGTGGAATCAGATTGCAACGAGCGGCGCCGTTCTGCCAACCGGCTGCTAGAGTAAAGCCTACGCAAGGATCGCGAGACATGGTGGTCAGAGCGTCCTTTAGGGATAGAGACCGCTGCCCTCTCTGGCAACACTCGCATGCGTTTCCAAGTCATTCGGTTCACTGGCCTCAGGAAGCCTGGTGTCAGTGAGGTAATTTGTGAGGTGGATGAGTCTCCGATCTCCAACCAACAGAGGTGTATGGACCGCTGGGCCGAGCACGTTCACTCGCAGTTCAACAAGCCCCCGCCATCCATCAGGACATGCAGTACACCTTGTTGTCCACCCTGGCTCGTCCCACTGAGTCCACCCGAGAAGCGGAAGTCTACCTCGAGATTCGACGTTTGAAGCGCTTCAAGACTGCCGGCTCAGACGGAATTCTTCCGCAGCTATTCAAGTACGGCGGTGTGGCGATCATTAACAGGCTGATCGTGTTGCTCGCTAAAATTTGGCATGAAGAGAAAGTGACTTCCTCTTGGGGCGAATCAGTTATTGTCCCGATTTTCAAGAAAGGCGCTCGCACTTCATTTGCAAATCATCGCGGGATTAAACTTATTTCCGTTGCCTCTAAGCTATTGGCATTCATTCTGCTTCGCAGACTATCCCCAGTACGTGAATCATACTACCGTGAAGAACAAGATGGTTTCCGTCCTGGCCGCGGATGCGTAGATCAAATCTTCAGGCTCCGCCAGCTCCTCGAACATCGCCACATTTAGCACAGACCCAACTATCATTGCATTTCTAGGCATACGTGTCGCTTTTGACTCCGTCGATCGACCTGCTTTATGGTGTTGCTTGCTAAAGAACGGAGTGCCGGAGAAATATACCACCATCTCACAAGCACTTTGCCTTCATACATCCGACAGAGTGAGGGTCC